GCTGTTTACAAACTAGTCAGAGGGGACCAGCAGGCATTGGGAGAGTCCCTGTTCCCCCGAGCACTACCAGGAGAGACTAGAAATAATGGTCACAAGCTGGCAGAGGTTAGATTCAGACTAGACAACAGGAGGCGCTACTTCACAGTCAGGGCGGCTAGGACCTGGAACCAACTTCCAAGCGAAGTGGTGCTGGCTCCTACCCCGGGGGTCTTTAAGAGGAGGTTAGACGAACACCTTGCTGGGGTCGTTTGACCCCAGTGCTTTTTCCTGCCATGGCAGGGGGTCAGACTTGATGATCTGCTCAGGTCCCTTCCGACCCTACCAACTATGAAATTATGAAACTGGTAGGTTTCCAAATTACTTTACAATTGTAAATATAGCAATCAAACATTGCCCAACTGATCTCTGTCTCTCTGTCTCTCCCTCCCTCCCTTTTTCTGTATATAACTGCTGTGGACTCTAACGCCCACCTGGTAAAGTAATAGTCCCCACTATATGGGGGCTAATGATTGAATGGATTTCATGGAACAATTTAGGAAAAAAACAGGATAGGAGTGATGTGGGGGTCAAAGGGTCAAAACATGAAAGTAAGTGCTCCGGCGGGGGGTGGGGGGGGACCAAACAGAGCCCCCCAGGCTGCACCCACCGGTTCTCAAAGGCATCCAAGGAGCTGGTAGACGCCGCCCACAGGTGATGACTACAGGCTCTAGCTCCCCGACCTGCAGATCCAGGAGCACGTGGGCAGAGTTATTTTTTCCCAAATGGCACGACTTGCCCCACACCAAAGTGCATGTCCGGGCCCATGTACTGAGGCAAAAATCCCTGGCGCAAATTTGTGCCGCTTCTATTTGAGATGCAACAATGGTACAGGAAGTATGACATTTTGAAGGAAATTCTCAATTGGCTATACTGGGTAGACAGGATGGTTTTAAAGGAGACTTTTGGAGGATACATTTAGATTATATTTGGAAGGGGTCTTAGATTCTCTGTCTCTAGGATAGTGTGCTTTGAAATAGTTCCAGACATGCGCATATGCTGCTGTTCACCACTGCAAACCCCATGCGCCTAATAAATTTAATTAGTGTGTCTCATTACTTTTCTTTCTTAGGTTGTGTTAAGGTCTCATTCTTTATGGTGAGGATCTCAGTGCAGAAATGGCAAATACAGCAAAAGCTGTGTTAACCGGCAGTTTATTAGCCAAAAAAGTCTGCTAACTGGTATGCGAGGGACGTGGCAAAAGTGAAACTGAAAGTACCACTTCCGGGGGACTTCCTGTTTCGCTGCCACGAGCTGAGTTTTTCTTTGCCACTTCTTCGGCCCACAGCCCAGGGCAAAGCAGCCTGCATGGGGGAAAGCAGCCTCGCGGGGCCCCCCTCCCAGTCCTCTGGCACACTGATGCCGGGGAATGCACCAGACAGTACATGTTTGATTAACCGGCATATTTGATTAACCTGCATCCCCCGTTCCCGGGGGATGCTGGATAACAGAGCTTTTACTGTATGCTGATCTGTGTTGTTGGCACCTTGATGAGTATCTAAGTCCCCTAAATAACGTTCTTAAATATTTTCTGCTCAAAATACAAAATAGCCTTCCGGGTGGTGGAACCAGAAATGATACCTCCTTCAGAAAAAAGTAGGCTTTTTTTGAAAATTGTGCTTAAGTTTTCACTGGAAAAAAACTAGTCAAATAAAATTGTTTATGTTCAAGAACATCTAACATAGTCTATAAGAGTATTCAGTGATTTCCTTTAATCCTTGCAACTATTATGATGAGGTTACAGATTCTTCATTTATTTGAAAGTTACTGAATAGGTCAGATATCAATTTAAACTCTGCCAGCTTGAAAATGAATATTCAGGTCATTTTAAAAAAATCTGCTAGTATAACCAAAAATCAATTCATGGGTATCTTTCTGGCCATTACAGTAACAAACAGGTAGCATTAAAGCATAGTTCTCCCATGCAAACTCATTTTATAACAAGAATAATTGGCGTAATTCCTATTTTTAGTCATTTTATGTCCTCTTCAGGGTGATTCCTGTTGCTTTATTCAGTATCAGGATGCTAACCTGGTCAGTATTACCTTTATGTTACAGAATCAAAAAGTACAATTTCTTTATTCTTTTTATGAAGAGTTCTTAACATTGGGAATTGTAATTCACTTTGAATTGCAACGTAAAAGCAAGAATTAAACTAGAAGTGTGTTCCCATTTTTGTTATATGATACTTTCACTAGAACAGTGGTTCTCAACCTTTGTAGACTGAGGCACTCCTCAGAAAACACCAGGTCTTAGTTTTCACTTGATTTTTTTACTATAAAAAATTAATAGAGCAATTCTTCTGTTGCAAAGACCTCAGAAGGATCACAACCGGTCAGAATGGTTTTTAACACTTTGGATTCTTATTTGAAATCTCTGCGTTTATCTTGCACACCTAACAGTGCTAGCTTGGCCTGGCATCCCACAGGACCCTTGAAAGGATCTTAAGGCATCCTGGTTGAGAACCATTGCACTAGTGTTTAAAAGAAATCCTTTTATCTCCAAAATTGCTATGTGAATCAGAAAGCACTGTTGTAGGTAGGCAAGGTGGTGATGCTTAAAATAGGAAAGTAATACTAAAAACAAAAATTTATGTTTACTTATTAACCCTTTAGTTGCTGCAAATATTTGTAAGGTAAAATGGAGACTATAACAAGGCAGTAAATGAATTCTGCAAGTTTTGCATAAAATAGTATGTAACATTTTTTATTAAAAGTACTAGAGAAAATGAGGCTAAGGGAAGGCTTGCCCTTGTGTCCCAGCCATGCTCATAAGTCTTTTGCATGTGGAGTCCAAGAACAGTTCTGTGGGAGAAATTTTGTCAGTATTTTGCTGCTTTGTTTATATGAGCAAAGCATACAAATATATCCTGGGTTTAGTGAAAGTGAGAACCTAACATTTAATTCAGTTTGGTATATTGAGAGAGGATGAGTGGGTTTGCTGTAGCACATGAACTATGTGAAGTATCAGTCTGGCAGTGCCTCAGATTATGGGCACTGACATTCTTGATGATTTAGGCTGCCGTCTTCCACAGAGCAGCAGCTTTGAAAATAACTGGTTCCTGAAAAATCAATGTGAGGCTTGGCATGCTCAAATCAAATGAAATCATACAGCTGAATTATGTTTTCACAACATCTTCAGAAAGTACTGCAGGATGGGCAAATTCTGGTAAAACATAAAAGCCACAGGTAAAACAAAAGCCACAGACTTGGTAATATATACATTTTCAGCATCTTGCATTGCACATTTCTCAATACCTTCCATTTGATTAACTGTTATACACTGTGAGGTTTTTTTTCTTGTGTGTCCAGGCATAAATTCCTTGATATGAAGGAAAAACAGCATACAGATTTTTTGTAATACTAGATCAGTGACTCACAACATGGGTGCCCTGCTTCATGACAATTCTCTGCCAGCAGGCTATAAGGTAGCTTTAAATGATATGTATTTACTTCATTGTGTTTAAAACTAATGCAGCCAAAACTTCACATCCAAATTTGAACATATAATTTTGTGTAATGTATTGTAAAAAAAACAACAAATAGAAAATATTTTAAATATAATCTTTCAAAGGAAGCGGAGAGCACAGGTTTAACGTGCTTTTAAACAAAGAGGAACATACAAAGACTGCAGAAATGACAAGTGTGTTTAAATAACATAGCTTTCTAAATTGATAAACCAAGATTTCCAAATGATTGGTGATGCTGAATATCTCAATTTTTAATGGCCCAACTTGAGATACCTTAGAGCATCTCTGATATTCAGAGTATCTGCTCTTTAAAAATCAATTTGTCATAAAAATGTTGCAAATTAGGCACCCAAAATCAATCCATAGTCACTTTTGACATTGCACGTGTGGACCATGCATATTCATTCTTTTTCATAAAGTGCGCACAGCAAATTATTAAAAAATTCTACCAGGTGTTTAGAAGTAACTGACAATTCATCTTTCTGTATTAATGGAGTGTTTTTCATAATATTCACAGTGTTGTAATTTAATTGGTAAAATGTATTTTAGAGTGATATTCAAGCAAACAGCAGTTTATTTCATTTATTAATTTAGTATAAAAGTTTATAAGATTATTTGTAATCGAATGGCAAACGCTTTAGTCTTTAAATCAGCTGCCTTATTGCTTTTAGTTTATATTTATAGCACTGTAAATAGTAGAACTTTTCACTGAATCCCAAATAATTGCATCAGTCTGAAGACGTAATAGTGCTGGAATTATTAGAGTAGAAGAGGTGTAGCAACATATGGTTAGTAGACTTTAAGATAATTATGAAGCATAAGTTGATCAGTTGTAGGCTAAACTGTAGGAAACAGAAGCGAGAGCTTTTTAACCTTTTAGCTGCTGTAAGAAAATATATTTGGGCTTTGTTGTTATTAGTTTTAAAATGACCATAAGATTAAAATGTGCATTGATGGTGGAGTCACAGTAGCTTATTCCTTCTAGTAGCTGAAATGGTACATATCCATTTTAACACATTGTGATACTTATTATAGTTGACATGGTTTCTCATGCAGTAAGTTTGGACATTTCTTGAGTTAATCTTCTAAAATATAACACACACATGCACACACCTATTATGTTAATTTACTAACCTTATTAAAAAGGGAACATTACATCTTGAATACTGTACCTCAACTTTATTGTAATGATTTTGCTGGTTACCAGGTGGGGTGGCAGTTGAAAAATTTGGTGAATGCACTACGAGAGGACCCGAGTGGTGTTATCTTAACTTTGAAAAAGCGACCTCAGAGCATGCTTACCTCAGCACCAGCTTTACTGAAAAATATGAGATGGAAGCCCCTTGCTCTGCAGGTAATGAAGCTTAATCATAAGTCATACACCATCATTTTAAGTATAGATTATCTCAGTGATGCTTTATTGTGCTTCATCCCAGCAGCATATGGATTTAATCTTGTATGCTTTGAAAAATTGTTTGTGAAATGGTCTCTGCATAGCTTGTTCTTGTAGGCTCAGTTAAAATTAAATCCATTAGTTAGACCTTTCAAAATTAAGAGCAATCCATAAGATCTTTTGTAGTTTGCAAGCCCAGATAACGGTAGGATAACTCTTCTCAGTTATTGGAAGAAAGACATAATACTGAAGTACATGAGTCGTTTTAGGGTTCCTGTTCACTTCTACTGGCATAGTTTGGGAGCTGTTATATTGCTCTTTAATTCATTGTTAAACCTGCCCTGGAGCTGGAGCACACTTAGAAAATAAAAGGAGAAAAAATCTGGTTTCTTCACAGTTTAGTCGAGCACTCTAGTCATGTTCTGAAGTTTAGCTGTAAGAACGTGATTTTAAGTCCGTCTCCTATTATGCAAAGCACTTGAGCACGTGCTTAAATATTTGGCTGAATCAGACCTCAAACATGTACATAGCTGTGTGCCCTTGAGTAATCTCCCTGAAATCTCTTCATATAAATAGGGCTGTGTGCAACCAGCTAAATTCTTTTCAGGATCAATCTCTATAGCTAAATACTGCAAGGAGAGGAGGGCTCTACTAGCCCTTTTTTTATATACTGTTTTTGGTAGACAGGCACTGTTCCAAAATATATAAATAGCCTTATTTAAGTATAAAACATCACTGGGATAGATTACTCTAGACTTCTTAATTAGTAGGAAGTAGAACTATTTCTAGACCGATGAAAACAGCTTACCAGTTGATGTAAGCTAAAAAATAATCTTTTTCCTTTTGAGTTTAGATATGACCCAGTCTTCAGATTTAAGGAAGAATTTTATTTTCCTTGCATGAAACTTGCATTTTGGGAGAGATTATTTTATCTAAAAATGTCTAATTTAAAAATTAATTCTATTCATAGGAATAAGAGAATATATTTTATTCAGGTAAAAAAGAAAATGAGATATGGAAATGCCACTGCTGATAGCTATGTTCATTGCCATTAAAATGTTAACAGTTCTATAAAAGCAATTAAAAATCATTCATAGGGGTTTTATTCCCTCCCCCTTTCTTTCCCCCTTTTTCTAATAGTTTAAAGGCACCTTTGTCTTTCAAATTGAATAGTTATTAAAATGGCTTAACATTTAAAACATAAAAAGTACTGGCTAGAGAATATGGTATTAACTTTCAACCAAAATAATTTATTCACATCTGAATATGAAATTGAGAATATGTATGCCTGATGTGAGTATATGAATGTATATGCTTGAAGGTTCTGTTTTTGTCAAAGAATTTTGATGACAGCATAAATCTTGAAAAACAAATTAATGCTTAATCAGAGTCCAAACCCTTCCAGTCTATACTCCAGCTCTTCCAGTTTTCCATGGTGACACTGCCTTTTTACTTTATTAAATATTTATTCTGGGTCTGCTTAAGCATTTGCCACTAGAGTATACCTCTAAAGGGTTCCACAGCAGGATTTTAGAAGAGAGGTCAGTGATAGAGATCATAGTGAATAAGCAATTAATTTAAGAGAGGCTATTTCAGAGAGTTTGAAAAATTAGACTGCAGTTTACACCATTTAGACTTCATGCAGCAAAAGAGCACAGATCTCCAAAGTCTGCTCAGCAAGACATGTTACAGATTGGAGGCAGTAAGCCATCATCAGTGAAGCTTCTAAAGTTTCTGATGTTAGAGCAGTAAACATGAGCAACGAGCATTTTTCTGAGACTTCTTCGTCTTCACAGTTCTAAAATAATCACTATATGAAATGGTTTGCATATGCATATATCAGTGTTGCAGAGATGGAAACTTCTGCTATGTTTAGTTTCATTTAATTTATTTTTTTATCATTCTTATTTAAAAATAGATTCCAGATAGGTGACTTCTATCATTTTTTTTTTATTGAACTAGTATAGGAAATGTGAATAATTGTTGAGGCCAATTTAAAACCTAGCAACCAAAATGCCATTAAAATATTAACAATACAAGTCTGATATCCTGATGCTATATTACGGTTGTATTAGACATTACATCGAAAGGTCTGGAATCTTATTTTAACCTATGTTGGGCGGGGTGTTGTAATTCATGGTTTCATGAAGTGAGAGATGATTTACTTAAGCACATTGATTGTAGAAAAAGCTTTGGGAATAAGTGAAGATAAATTTTAGAATCTATTTAATTGTATCTTCTTTCTTCAAGTTTATTGGCAATAAACAAAAGACTAGTGCCTTATCATTCTTTTTCCCTTGGTTGGTGAAGGGCAAAGCCCAAACTGAATTTGCAAACTTACTAAATGGAAGTAGCTACTTTTAATAGAATAATAGGACAGTACATGATTACCTTTAAGTTAAAAAGTTTCATTTACACTGGGGAGTCAACAGAGTAAAACTGTGTAAAGATCAGTTACCCAGGTAGATGGCTGTTGTCATCAGGTCTGTCAATCTGCCTCCTCTCAGGGGTCCTATGTTGCCTCTCTTGGGGGTTTCTGCATTGCTCTATTATTTCTCTTTAGTTTCATGAACACTTGCATCCAATACTTTTCTGACCTAATACTCACTACCTAAACTATTTCAAGAAACAATCGCCAATTCCGTATCTCAGGGACACTCCATTTCTATGCTCACTTTTAATGGCTGAAGGGGCCGTACAAAGGAACAACTAATATTTCATGCAGCCTGTAGTTTAGCTACTTGTCTTATTATGAACATCTAAGCATTATAGCAGTCCTCTTCGGCTTAGCACAACTACCTTTTTTAAAGCAACTTCTACATAAGCATAACTCATAGGCATTCACACAGCAGACAGTAAAACACAATTTAATTCATATCACCCTTAATCATTTGTTATACAACAACCTGATCAAGTCAATCTTAATTTTAAATAGTGGTTGTGTGATAAATCTGTATGATTTGATTATATAAGAACAAAATAGCTCAGCAGTCTTACAGCTATTCAAAAAATATGGAGAGAGGAGTGCTAACAGTGTTGATTATATTTGGATATCTCTTCAAAATCCAGCATCATTGTCTATGACACACTTTTCTCCAAAATTCACACATTGTAGTTTGAAATTGTCACATGGTATTATTAAAGTTCTGTATATGTCAGTTCCTTCATAGGATCGTGTTCTTTATTGACAATGAAAAGTAGTTACCTTGAGGAAGAAAGTAAATACCTCAGTTGTCTCTTTTTTTTTCTATTGTTTTTTTCTTTCTGGGTGGTGGGGGGGGAGAGAATTAAGACAAAGGAGGAGGTAACATGTTTTCCTATATTAAGATGTCATGAAATAACTGAATGGTATAGTTTCAGAACTAATATAGTTAAATATTATTAATTATTCAATACATTGAGCAGAGACAAGTTATAATGAAATCAATACCCAGCAACACAATATTTTTCAAATACAAAACAGGAGCAGAAAACATTACTAGTGGTATCTAATTCCTAGAAGTGAGATACTAATGTTGACTCAGGTCCTGCAGATTAGTGGATTTTGTTTTCTAAGTTCTGGGAGAGGAGGGAGCAAAGATAGGCAAAATGTGGTTCTAGGGCGGGGCAGGCAATTATTTCAAGCGGGGGGGCTGCTTACCAAATTTTGACAGGTGGCCCGCCCCTTGGTTGCCATCTTGGGACCGGTAGTCCTGCCCCCTAACCCCCAACCTTTGCCACCAGAAGCCCCTCTCCTTGCCTCTGAAGGTACTCCTTTCAGCAAGGGGTTTTGCCATCTCAGAATAAAAAAAAATACTAAATTATATTCTAGAAATCAAACATCTACAATATTCATTAATTTACTTTCAAAAAATCTTTTTATCCTGATTTACATGTGTTCGTGTAGTGTACATAGAGGTGATCGCACAATAGCTTAAAATGAAGTGTTACTCATGTAAACTGGAGGGGGGGCATGGGGGCATGTGGGGGATGATACGGGGTGAGAGAGATTGTGAGCATGTGTGTGTGTGGATATGTGGGGTGTGGGCGGGTGTGGGTTTTGTAGGGGGAGGTTGGCTGGGGTGTGGGGGGTCTGTGTGTATGGCAGTGCAAGGGGGGGTATGGGTGCATGTGTATAGTGGTGGGTGCTTGTGGGACTGACCCTACAAATACACACTGTGCTTACCTCACTACACACACACACATGCACGCACGCACTGTGCTTGCCTCATTGTTCTCTCTCCCCCTCCCTTATTGTGTGTGTGTGCATGCACACACTGGCCCCAGGGTACTGGCATGCCCCTGCTCCCACAGTCCAGCGATGCAGCCTGGGGCCATGTGATGCTGGAGCAGCCACATGCAGGGAAAGCTGCAGTAGGCAGACACTTCCTGGTGGGAGGCAGCTGATGGTAGGGCCCAGCTGGGCTGGCCTTTCTCCTAACTCTTGCTGGCTTCCCCTGGGTACTGCTGCCCCTGGCTTCTGTCATTTTTTAACAGGGAGCCTAGAGCAGATAAATATTAATTTTCTAAACTTTGTAGGTGCCCCGTGGGCTGGATGGAATGGCTCGGCAGGCTGAATGTGGCCCATGGGTCGTATTTTACCCGCCCTTGTTTTAGGAATTAGTCATATTGAACAGAAATTTGGATGGGAGAGTGAGTCAGCCAAATGCAAGAAGTTTTGATAGTGAAGCAGGTTGAGATTTTGCATGTACCCACATAAGCAAGTATCTTCGAAAGATGTTGCAACAAATTTAGAGGCACAAAAGTTTCAGCAAATTGAATTCAAGAGACTTGTTTATATTGAAATGTTGTAACCAAAACCTTTTAAAATCCAGTTCTAAGTGAGAGTAAGTAATGTTGACACAGTAGTTAGTAAACTGCCCTTTGCTCATTTAGTTGTTAATTGTAGGCATGCGCATGAAAAGTGTGTCACTTGCAGCAACATGAAAAACCCAAGGTTAAATGGAGCAAAATTAAACATG